TCAGGTTTGCCAGAGGTGGCCCACACATGGGCCAGCACAAGGCCAGCTGCAGATACAATGGTGGTCCTGTGCTGGCCCAGAGCGCACACAGATTGGGGGAGGGTCAGTCCTGCCTCCACACCATTTATCCACATATTGATTAAACTTATGTTTACATGCAAAAGAGTATCAATATTTATGCTTTTAATCCCGTTTTTAACACTGGGTTACAATTGCATTAGCAATAAATTTAATAACCCTCTATATTAACAGTTACACACTATATAGAACAACTTTATAGAATTATATTTGTTTGCAGATGTTAGCAGCTATCAGTGAATAGTTATCAGCTATTTTGAAACAAAACTGTAGAGAGACACGGCTCTCTGACTCTGAAACAAACAAACTCAACAACATAATTCTCCACTAGGCCTTTACTGAATCCAAATTCAGTTTCTGCTCGTTTGTGGGTCTCTCTTCATTCAGTTTAGTATTTAATAACAGGAATGCATGCTCTGTTGAGGTGAAAGAAGGTGACTTAAAAATGGAACAATATCCTATTTCTTTGCCTCTGAAAGTCTTGGGTGGTTTTTAAAGTTTAGTATATTAGCTGATTGACAATTTCCTGAACCTTATGCTAACTTTGAACTGAAAATACTTCATCTTTTTAATTTATCTTTGAATAATGAGGAAACAAGTCTTATATCTCCATGAAATGGGTTGTAGTAGACAGTTGTTCAGTTACTTTTGAGTGTCTGGTGAAAAAAATCCTTGTGGGTAAAATCTACACACCTTTTCAATTCAAATACAATCAGAAAGTTAGACAACTGACTTTGTGATCTTGATTATATTAATGTGATTGATCTATTACTAAACAGCTGTCAGGGGTTGCTGTGTGGATGTGAAGAAGAGGGGACCCCAAACACAGGACTCGTGGTGAGGATTAAGGGTGTTTAATGCAATGGCAGGATGAACGGATGAACAGTACATGGAAGAAGACTGGCTGACTGACGGAAAGGCAAACAAGCAGAGTAGACAGCAGTGACAACATCATTGACAAGACAGTGAGCGAGTCGAAACTGAGGACTTAAATTTCCAAAAAGAAACTGTTGTGGTGGGCGACCACGTGGCCAGCGGCTGAGCCAAAACAGGTCCAGTGGGCGGCTGCGAGGAAGTCCAGTCAGTGGGTGGAAGGTGGCTGCTGACACCAAACTTGACATGGACAAGCCGCCGGTGGCGGAGCAGCTGCAGGTGACGGCGTGGGAACCTCCAGAGAGGTCAGGTGGAATCCTGGCCGCCCTCACCCTGGGCGCTGGGACAGGCACGGGAGCTAGCTGGACACCAGTCACCCCCACCCGAGGAACCGGAACAGGTGCAGGAGTGGACTGTGTCTTAGCTGCCCTCGCCCTAGGAGCTGGCACAGGAGTGGGTGCTGGCTGGAC